GATCATCGATGTGAGTTTCATAGAGGATCCATAGAGCCCGACCTCAAAAATCTTAAGCAAGCTTTGATTGTTATCTATTTAATGGATAAATTATAAATACACATTTTGAAATTTAATTAAAATACGAATTGTCTTTTGTGATTTTAAATATTATATTCGGCCCTTTCAAATTTTTAATCATATAACAAATTATCTATTTTATTAATAAATTATTAAATCAATTAACAGTTTTTAATCATGAATATATTTTATTTAAAATTTCAGGCAATTTTATTATTGTATATAAGAGCAGTTATAAAATTTTTATTTATTCATTTTTTTTTTGGTTAACTACTCAAATAAAAAAATTTGACAATGGAGTTTTTATAATTTTTAAAATTATGGATTTTAAGCAAATCTCAAAAGAATGTATTTATACTATCTAAAAAAAAGAAAAGAAAAAAAGAATGTATTTGAAATTTATTCAAAGGAAAATGTGAGATGGCCCAATTACAATTGATGTTTTGGTGACAATTTTCATGATCATCCTTTGTCATCTATAGAAGGAGGGCTCAGTACATAATCCATTGTAGGTGGTGCCTCTTTGGTGATGGATAATCAGATTCATTGCACACTGCTTCACTTTAACATGTGATGGCATAACGAAAAAAACCATGAATTGCTCACCACCTTTAATTCGATATCCAAACTTTCTTCAACTTTTATATAGCTTTCCCAAACATAATCTCCACAACTCCTAGGATGCCAAAGAAGGTTGGGGTATAAGTAAAATCGATGCCATTAATTTTATTAGTAATAATGACGTATGGAGAATCATTTAATTCCATGGAAAAACTTTCTTCATCCCTAGCTCTATAATAAACAACTCTCAAAGTGAACCCTGCAATGTAGTTGTCTTTCCCCTGCACTACTGGCACTTCTAAGAATATCAAAGAAGACCCTGTTATTTTATAGCTAAAACTGTTGATGAAGTCACCGGTATAGAAAAAGTCACCCGTGAGCAAGGAGCTCGTAACGAAGATGCTATCATATGAATTTCCAATTAGTAGAGTGCTAGACGAAAATTTAAAAAAAATTAAAATAAATTTGCGGACACAAAATCAACTACAAAATCAATAACATAAAATATAGGTAGAATAATTTGATAGTGAAATTGTATCTATTATGATAAGTCCCACTCTTTTCATGTGATATGCAAGATTAAGAATATATATGTCATGTTGGCATCCCTATAATCTTGTTGATTTTTTTTTTCTTTTTTTTTTTTTGCATCAAATTTATACAGTGACAAGTTTTAATTTGGGTAAATTACACTTTGCAGCCCTATACTTTGCACCAAATCTCACTTTGGTCCATACACATGAAATTGTGATAGTCAATCTCCTGCACTTTTGGTCAAATCTCATTTTGGTTCTTATACATAAAATTGTGATAGTCAACCCTACACTTCTAATCAAGTGTCAACTTGCCCATTATATTACTCAATTGTTTAAGTTTTTAACAGAATCTAATCATGTGATAAACATGTAACTACGAAATGAGGGCACGAGAAAAAAAAAATCGTTTTTTATTTCTCACCAATATACACTTTATCCTACGTGATAAACATGTGCGAGTTATATAATATATGTGTGTGTGTGTGTGTGTGTTTATATGCTGAAAATTAGGACAGTGAGGTAAGAAATATAGCTTTTGAAATTTTTTTTTTTTAAAAAAAGGCAGCAGAGAAATCGAAGACTCTATTACTATAGAAAACAGAATTTCATTATTCTAATTTTTGCAAAACGCCAGTTCATTTCTTTATCATTCCCAATTTGCATTTTGTTTTAGCTGAATACAATCAAAAGTTGATGTAAATTTTGGGACAAAATATGTATAGATGGAAAATTTGTGTGATTTTCTTCGTTTGCCCTCATTTTGTACTCATATTTTTGTCACATTACTAACTTCTGTTAAAAACTTATATAATGGAGTAACATAAGGGAGACGTTGATTCTTGACTAGAAGTACAAAGAGTTGATTGTCACAATTTCATAAGTGCAGAGAGTTAACTGTCATGATTTCATTTGTAAGGACAAAGTGGGATTTGACCAAAAGTGTAGGGGGTTGACTGTCACAATTTCATATGTAAGGACCAAAGTGATTTTATTTTATTTTATTTTATTTATTTATTTATTTATTTATTTATTTATTTTGCATCAAATTAATATAGTGACAAGTTTTAATTTTATCATTTAGAATTAAAGACTCATCAAAGTTATTTATATTTGAAAAAAGAAATGTTATATATGTCACATGTTTTTATCATTGTTTTGTATAATTGTCTACATGGATATTTATAATTGGCTCATTTGTTTAGACATAATTATTAAGAAATCAATGAAAACAAATAACATATTGTCATAGAGAAATGCTATATATGACTGATTATTTATCATTATTTTGTGTCACCGTCTATATTAATTCTCTTATTTGAAGATGATTATTAACAGATTAATGCAAACAAATGACATCTTTCTAAGTCTGTTGATGATATAAAAAGATAATATAAACATGTGATACATAATCGTCTAATATATTATCATGTAGCTGGTAATAAAATAGTGAAAAAACTAGTGAATCCAATTTTTGAAATTGTTGTTAGTGCCACATCATTCAAGTAAAAACTTTTGAATAAAAAATTCAATAAGAATAAGATATTATTTTCCATCTCTAATAGGCAACTCCTCTCTAGTCCACTGGTGTTGTTTAGGTCCATGAGACCCACCACAGGTTTCGTTTACATAATTTAAACTATTCATTTTTTTAGTCACTTCATCTATTTCATTCATATAAAAATTAAGTCGACCTGATAATGATAGCCTATTTAATTTATTGCGTTTATCACCAAAAAAATTATGTTATTTATTTTTTAAAAACACAATTGTCATTCATTTTTTTTTGTGACATTTGATAAATTGAATATATTATGATTATTGGATCGATCTAATTTTTTTATGAATAAAATATATGAAATATTTGATAAAATGAAAGATTCAAATTATCAAAATGAAACCCGAACCCCATAGTCAATTCCACACACCTACACAACGTCCTCCGGTACATTTCATCTGGACATGAGGGAATCCTTCTCATTTGGTATTATATAGGTCACATCCAAAATAAATTTGGTTTCACACATTTCACCTTTTTCAGAGCGATTTGTTTTTGAAAAATTGTTGCACTTGAGAGAGATAGAGAGAGAGAGAGGCCTGAAGGAGACTTTGTAAATTGTTGAGCCTGTCCAAGGGAATGATTTGTGCACAATGAAAACAGTGTAGTTCTTCCATTCCATCCTTATTACGATTCGAAAGACTTTGCCAACATTGGTGGTTACTCAACCACATTAATGGAGTCTTCAATTTTGATAGATCGGGTATTTTTTTCAAGTGGTGCACAACCATAAGCTTGTACTTCCACTAAGTTCGGAGGAAGATCTAAGATAGATTGAAGACTTTTGCAGTTATTCAACTTAAGGTCTTCTATCTTGGATAGATGACTGAAGCCATATGGTAGGTTACGAAAATTGTTTCCACTTAAATCCAACACTCGCAATGAGGATGCACTCCTAAGATCAGCTGGAATATCTCATCCAGACAGATTGTGATCACTGCAATCTAGCTCTGTTAAGGAACACAAACCTAAAACAGAGGATGGTAAAAATCTTATGGAGTCGGCATTTTTTCTCGGTAAAACCCAAGATGAAATGCGAGAAAAGCCAGGATTCAGTTGTCAATTGCCTATTACATCCCTTCAACGATAACCTCCTAAGATTATTTAGTAGTCCAATAGAGAAAGGTAGTTGTTTAATGGCTGTTCCATCTCCAAGAAGCTCTATTAAGCTTTCTATATGTCCCAAGTGCTCTGGAAACTCCTCTAGTTTTGCACAACCAGTGAGATTTAGATGTTTAACAGACTTTAACTCGCAGATACTACCTGGAAGATACCTGAGGTTCATGCAATATTTCAAATTCATGTGAACAAGTTTATCTAGAAGCCCAATTGATTCATGGAGCTCCATTAAACCTGTACAACTTTCAAGCAGTAACTCCTCGAGCATCGGTAGTGTGCCGATGATTAGGCACTTTGTTAGGCATTTGGAATTACTGAGATTTAGAATTTGCGAGCTCTTGAACTGCTATTAAAACAAAAATCTATATATATATACACAAAATTATATAAAAAAAATTTCATCATGATCCACTACATAATTTATCCAAATCCCAAACAACAATGAATTTGCTAAGAATGTCATACCTTGCCATCTATCCAGAGTGTTTTAAATCTGTTGAATTGCATGTCTAAAATAACAATTTTCTCTGAATGAAAATTGGATGGTAAATTCTCCAATGGCCAGTTATGCCAACAGAGCCACCTTAACTCTTCAAATAGATCTTCGAAATTTCCACTGAGGTGCACATGATTTATTTGAAGCAGTCTTAGCTTATGCATCCCAACAAATGCTTTATTACTCCATTGTATCTTCTTTAACATGGGTAGGGTTAGGATCACACCTTCAACTGCTTTTGTTCCCTAATATAGTAATATTTAAAAGACAAAATGGAAAATTAAAAGAAAGAAAGACTATTAAATAACTGAAATTAGCATTTCAAGCCCAAAACTTACTAACTCATAAGAAAGAATTAAGATTCGACTCTTACCTTGTTTTTTTCAAGCACATAGCATACATCTTTATGTAACCACAATCTACTGCACTTTTCAGGCTCCTTCGGATATTTTTCATGAAGAATTTCCCTCCCCATATCCCTAAGTAGATCATGCATGAGAAACTCATTTCTTTCACTAATTCTCAGTAAATATCTACTAACCAAAACACTAATTCCATTTTGAGCAAAGAACTGCAACTATTTAATATAGTAATGACATAGTCTTTGTCCAATCCAATGAAAAAGCATGCAATATCAAGGAAGATATCCTTCATTCTGTCTTTATCTAGCGAGTCAAAACTTATCCCAAGTTTTTTTTTTTTGAATTTGATGATGAGGAATTTCTTGTAATTCATCAAGTGCACTTTTCCATTCTAGGATGTTTCTTCCAAACAAATAAGAACCCAAAATTTCAAGAGCTAGTGGAAGCCCTCCAGCATAACTTACTATATCATTTGCAAGCTCTGCAAAATTTTCTAACGGATTGGTTTCTCTAAAAGCATGCCAATTGAAAAGCTGCAGAGAGTCTATGTGATTTAATTCCTCAGGCATATATCTTTCATCAACTTTCAATCCCATCAACAAGTGCTCATCTCTAGCTGTTAAAATGATTCTATTTCCTGGACCAAACCAATCACGATTTCCTACCAAGGTATTTAATTGACTTGATTGATCCACATCATTAAGAACAATGAGAACCTTTTTAGAATGGAGCCTTTCTTTCATCAAATTAAATCCTCTGTCAACAATGCCAATCTTTAAATTCTTTGTCCAAAATAATTGAAAAAGAAGTTGTTCTTGCAATTGAACTAGGCCATTGATTTTTCCTGCAACTTCTCTAACATTTGCAAGAAAACAACTTCCTTTAAATTGGAGGAAAATAGGGTTATACACAACTTTTGCAATGGTTGTTTTTCCTATTCCACCCAAGCCGTATAGCCCAATCATGCAAACATCATCTGATCCAATGCACAACATCAAATTTATGTGTTCAACACGAGAATCTATTCCAATTGGGTGCACAACGACATTTAGGAATGTATGTTTCAGTTCACATAAAACATCTTTAACAATTTTTCGGATGAACTTTATTTCATACCTGTCAATTTCGATCCAAATTAAAAGTAAAACAAGTGTATATTTCAAAAATACAAAACCTTACTGTGTGAGTGATTTTCTGATCACACTGCCCGCTTAGTGATCAGCTAGAGAGCACTGGCAGAATAGATGGCTTCAGTTATCCTGCAACAGAAAGAAAAGGCTCCGGCGGTGGCTCCTCCACCCGGGGGCACTCCGACGATCAAGTCAGTATATCTCTCAAAGATAATCAAGTGCTAAACTCACTGCTCAAAGCATAAATTGCGTACCTTAGACCCACGGGGGTGCCTCTCTTTTATAGTTTACTTAATCCTAGTCCCACTAGAAGCCTCACTTCTATGGACTTCAATTCAGTACTTACTTTGGACTCCTCAAGAGATAAAGATAAACTCTCTAAGAGCTTTATCCTTATCTTGGCTAAATCTCCTCTTTATTCTAGGACTCTTGTCCCTTATCTTTTATCCTCTTATCTCGGATTCCGATATCTTCAGAGATAACCTCGGCCTTGCCGAGATAACCTCAGCATCATGACCAGGACACGTGGCACCTCGGCTGACACGTCGGCGTCACCTTGCCACGTGTTGGTACTCAGAAAATATATCCCCACAACTGCCCCTAAGTTCTATTACCTCAGTATTCTGAGGTGATGAAACCTATATCATTCCGTTTTTCCAGTACGTCGGTTTTCAGTATCTCAGCCGAGATCATTATTTTGGCCGATATCCTTTTATTGAAGAACAAGAACTTCAAGAATCCTTCCACACGTATGAGCTGTCATACACCATAATTCAACCGTTTTTAACCATGCGTTTCTTTCTTACTGGTTCGTACCTGTGACACGCCCATAAGCCGTCTTTTTCTCTCATGCGCCGTCTGACATATGCGTTCTTCTAGGCGTATTGATTATTTTTTGCCTCCGTTTTCATTTTTGACAAAACCTTTCCCCCTTTCTTTATTTTTCCACTTTTGCATCTGATTTCTCTTGCTTTTTCTCTCTCTAAACTCTTTCTTTCGAATCTACAATTGCTTAAGCTCCAAGCTCTACAGTTGTCTTCATTTCGTCTTTCTGGTGAAGCTTTCGCTATTCTGTTACTCCTGCAACCATCATCAAATTTCTGCAATCTTCATACCGGCTTCACTCTTTTCTGGTAAGCTACTGTTCCTTTTGTTTTCAATTTTGTTGATATTCTTCATTACTTGTTGCCTTTACTGCATCTGTTGAAACTTTTAATTTGCGATTCATACACCTGAATGTGTCCTTCCCATGATTTTGCCTTTGCCCATATCTTGAACACACGCATTGTTTCACTACTTCCCTGTATCTTTGTCACTAATCTTGGCCTTGTATTTCTTGTATTCTTTATGCTCTTGATAAACCATCTCTGTGCTTGATTTTGAAATTCCATTCTTGTTTTCTGTTTTTTGTGTCTTTTCCAGATCTGTGCCTTTGATCTTCATTTCCATAGTTTTAGGTTTGGGATTTGTTTGTAGAACCCACGATTTAAGGCAAAACTGAAACATTCCTTACAAATTTCTGCACCAGCCCAAACTTAGGTTTTTGCCGAGGTCCCATCAACAAGAAATATCTTCTTTCTGAATTCCAACCCTTCTAATTCAGGCCGATATCATGGGTATGTGGAGACATAGGGTAGATACCCCGACCAAACTTGAGTACTTTAGGCAAGAGTTCTCTATCCCTGCCGATGTCCATCTGAGGCTGGCTGGGGATGATGACTCCATCATGCCTACAGAAAACTCCATGCCTTTTCCCATTGTAGCTTTTACTGAGTGTGGACTTCGGCTCCCACTCAACATCCTTTTTCGCGAGATTCTTCACTATTATAAGTTGAACCCCATGCAACTGGCAATCAATTCCTATCGAGTGATCTTTGGTGTCATAGCCTTAGCTAAACGGGAAAATGCTAGGATCACCCTAGCCGATATCCAGCACTGTTATACTATGTGCGCCCTTAATTTGAAAGAAAAAGGCTACATTTATTACCTTAAGCCGAGGTCTACAGAATTCAAAATCGTAGCCGACCTTCCAGACTCCAACAAAGGGGCTAGAGACGACTATCTTATTACCTCGAAAAATTGGGAGTTTGCTCCAGATGAGGAAATCCATCTCTACCCTCTTCCCCGATCAGTTTTAGAGGGCAAGGGTAAGAGCCCAGTATTCAGCTTTGCCTGTTTTCTTTTGAAGTCATTAAATACTTTGTCTGTTTCTAACGTTTGTTCTTCTTGCAGCTGTTCGTCAGCCACCGAAAAATTTTCGCCAATCCTTTGTTCCCAGCAAGGATTTGAAGAAACTTCTGGACTTGCCAATCCACAAAAGGAAAGCGCCTGTGCTTCTTAATTTTATTCCATCATACAAGTCAACTTTGCCTGACATTCCCAAAAGGAAGAAGAAAAGCCTTTCTCCACCTTCTGCTACAACCCTGTTGACTGCATCTACATCACGAACAGTTCAAGGATCAACATCTAATCTAGCTGATCAGTCATCCACTTCGGCTCCATATCTGGTCCCAATATCAAAGCGAAAATGTCGGCGATGACTTGTCCTTACTGCCGAGGTGGGTCGTCCTAAGCCAGTTGCAAAAGATCTTCTGGCCAGTATTCCATCATCTGTTGATGAGCAGCCAGCACAAACCCTTCCTCCACCTAAGCCAAAAAGAATTATGAAGGCCCAACCAAAGGCTAAAGTTACTTAGACTGAGTCTGAGGATGCTTTGCCTATATCAAGGTTGGCTGAGAGTGACAAACCTCAGCCCTCTGCTGGGAAGAGGCGCTCGGAAACCCAGCCATCAGAGTCCCCAAAATCCAAAAAGCCGAGGTCTTCTTCTGCTACGACTTCGGGATCCAAGAAGAGCGATGCCCCCTGGTCCCCAAAAATTACTCTGGAGGACAAGCCAGTCTTGGCTACTGATAGTGCCGACGATATCAATGTCGGCGTAGGCCTAAGCACAGCTCTGCTCCTTCCCGGCGACCTTGACCGCAATGCCGAGTTGAGCGAGTACGAGAATTATGCGTTGATGCTTCAACGCTCCGTTCAAGTAAGTGTCTTCTTCTTGGTAATTTTCTTCTTTCTGTTTTGTATTTAGAAAAATTTGTGCTAATTTTTGCCTTGTCTTCTTTCAGGCAATCCAGCATGCCCACTCCTTTTCTGTTCAATCCTTTGAAAATCGGCAAAAGCTGGCCGACATGAAGAAGGAGTTCTCTTCTCTCCAAAAGATTAATAAGGGCCTTGAATCAAAAATGAAGAAGCTGGAGGATCAAGCCGAGGCTGCAATTAAAGCTCAGAATAATGCCGAAGAGAAGGCTGAGGCTGTTGAGGCTATCAGAAAACTGGCTGAATCCCAAAGAAAGGAGGCCGAGGAGAATATGGCCCAAGCCGAGAAGGAGCTTTAAGAAGCCTTGGCCACCAAAAAGGCTGAAATAAAAGATGTTGATGAAAAGGCATATGCCCAAGGCATGGCCGACGTCACAGATGCTTACGAACAGCAAGTGAATGAGGCATGCAACAAGGGTTTTACCCTTGGTTGGATGTCCCTTTTGAAGAAACTTAAAATCCCAGAGGACTCGCCATTAAGAAAACCTGATGCCATTCCTCTGTCATTCCCTCCATTTCAACCTCCAAATCAAGATGTCGGCGAATCCGAATCTGGGGAAAATGATGAGGATGAGGATCAGGCCTTGGTGAGAAAATCCAAGGATGCCGATGGGGCCAAGTCCTCTCCCAAGAATGAGCAAGTCCTAGACTTGACTCAGGATGAGGAAGGTGATGAGGTTCCCATAGAATCTGTTCCCGAGAATGCACTAGCCGACATCTCCTCTGCGGACAAGAGTGTTGAAGAAACTCTGCAAGAAATTGATGCCAAGATAGCAGCGGATAAGGCTGCTGGGATGTCTTCTCAACCAGCATCTGATCTTCAAATTCAACCAACTAATGGAGAGGAGTCTTAGCTTCATGTTTTTCTTTTGCTTACTTGTATTTTGTTGCTTCTTTATCTTTTGAAACAATGTATGCTTTTTGTATGGCCGATGTGCCCTTTTCTTGGTGAATGAATATAATTTTTCTTTTCTTGTCTTTTCTTTATTGCTTTGTGCATCATTCTATACTTAGAACATTTTGCATATCTTATGTACTCTTCCTTCTTTGTGCAATCTTCTCGGGGTGACACACCTCGGTTATGTCACCTGACGATTTACCTCGGCAAGTTCTTGTCCTATAAATTGCTTATAAATTTTAACAAGGATAAACGCATACTGGTTTAATCTCAACTTCAACTTGTAAATTGTTACAAATTTCAACAAGTGAAGATAACACAATTATCTCGGCTTAACTTCAACTTGTAAATTACTACAAATTTCAACAAGCATTAAACATTACTTCGGTTTAACTTCAACTTGTAAATTGTTACAAATTTCAACAAGTGAAGATAAACAATTAGATTTTGAAAAGCTGCAGAGAGTCTATGTGATTTAATTCCTCAGGCATATATCTTTCATCAACTTTCAATCCCATCAACAAGTGCTCATCTCTAGCTGTTAAAATGATTCTATTTCCTGGACCAAACCAATCACGATTTCCTACCAAGGTATTTAATTGACTTGATTGATCCACATCATTAAGAACAATGAGAACCTTTTTAGAATGGAGCCTTTCTTTCATCAAATTAAGTCCTCTATCAACACTGCCAATCTTTAGATTCTTTGTCCCTAATAATTCAAAAAGCAGTTGTTCTTACAATTGAACTAGGCCATTGAGTTTTCCTATAACTTCTCTAACATTTGCAAGAAAACAACTTCCTTTAGATTGGAGGAAAATATGGTTATACACAACTTTTGCAACGGTTGTTTTTCCTATTCCACCCAAGCCGTATATCGCAATCATGCGAACATCATCTGATCTAATGCTCAACATCAAATTTATGTGTTCAACACGAGAATCTATTCCAACTAGGTGCACAGCAACATTTAGGAATGTATGTTTCAATTCACATAAAACCTCTTTAACAATTTTTGGATGAACTTTGCTTCATACTTGTCAATTTCGATCCAAATTAAAAGTAAAGCAAATGTATATTACAAAAACACAAAACCTTACAAACCCTACTTCCAATATGTAGTTAATAAATGTAAAATTCAAAACATCTTGAACTTACAAAGTGAACTAACTATACTTGATTTTTTTTTTTTTAAATATTAAGAACAGTAAGGATAGGATTTTCTAGTTAAAGATAAAAATTGATAGCGGCAATGGTAGCAAAATTAAAAGGATATTAAAAATAACCCATTAGCAACATTTTGGAAATCCCAGCCTGATAAATTAGCAGCTTCAGATAGGGCAGCTTTCCTCACCTTCACCTTCTCCATCTCATCCACCTAACATTTTTCGTGTCTTCCAAATGCTTCTCCAAAACACCATGTTTGGTGTCGTATATCAGATGGATCGACATCGTAGAATAGTGGGAGAACTAATCGCCCAAGTGTTTTCTTCCATCCAAAATTACTTTGTTGGATGCTTCTGCTTGCCCATTGCTTTGGGGAAAACTTGGTGTTGAAAAGTAATTCTTTATCTTGAATTTCGCACAGAAATTCTTGATGAGTTTGCTGTCAAACTGCGTTCCGTTGTCGGCAACTATTGCTCTTGGAATGCCAAATCTGGTGATGATGTTTCTCCATATGAAGTTCTTGACGTCCACATCTCGAATTTTGGCTAGAGGTTCTGCTTCTATCCACTTCGTGAAGTAATTTGTTGCTACCAGCAAGTACTTCCTTTGCCCAGTTGCTTGGGGCAACTGCCCAATGAGATCCATGCCCCATTGGGCAAATAGCCATGGACTGGATACAAGGTTTAGGTCAGCAGCTGGCTGGTGTATCAAAGGTGCGAATCTTTGGCATTGCTCACACTTCTTCACGTAGGCTTCTGTATCTTTTTGCATGTAAGGCCACCAATACCCCTAGGTAATGGCCCTGTGAGCTAGTGATCTGCCTCCAGCGTGGCTTCCACAAATCCCTTCATGAATTTCATATAGAAAATCTTCCACCTGCAAAGGGTGTACGCACCTTACAAGGGGGCCAGTGAAGGACCTTCTGGAAAGATGTCCGTCTGCTGTCAGATTGAATCTTGCCGACTTCAATCTGACCTTGTGTGCTTCCTTATGGTCGTCTGGCAGTTTTCTCTCTTTTAGGAATGCAACAATTGCATCCATCCAGCTTGGTCCCAAGTCGACACACATTGTTTCTTGTTCTGTGATCGATTGTTCTATGCACAGGCTTGACAGATAGTCAATCATTATTGTCCTTGTTTTTCCAGTTTGCATTGAGCTTGCCAAGTTGGCCAACGCGTCGGCGTGGCTGTTATCATCTCGGCTAACTTGAAGAAGTCGACAGTTGCGAAATAAGGCTGCCAGCCTGATGACTTCCTTTGCGTATGCCGACATTCTCTCATCTCAGGTTGCGAACTCTCTTGTTGTCTGATTTACTATAAGTTGTGAATCATAAAAAGTTATTACCTCATCTGCTTCTGCTGCCACTGTAAGCTTTAGTCCTGCAATCAATGCTTCGTATTCTGCCTCATTGTTCGAGGCCTTGAACCCTAATTGAATAGAATATTCCAATATCTCTCCATCAGGAGATATTAACACTACTCCTGCCCCTGCTCCTTGCCGGTTTGAGCTCCCATCGACAAACAGGCGAAAGGAGTCGCCGATGTAAATGTTGCAGGGTCTGAGTTTTTCCTTTCTTTGTTCTTTTGCCTTTGGCTGGGCTTCTCCTTGTTTGCTTAGACATTGTTCATCTTGGCTCAATGGAGCCCGATGTTTGATGGATTCTGCCGTGAATTCGGCCACGAAGTCGGCCAAAACTTGGCCCTTAATTGCTGTTCTCGGCCTGAACTCCAGGTCGTACTGGCCTAAGGCCACTGCCCATCTTGCTATTCTTCTTGTTAAATCTCCTTGTTGTAACGAGGACTTCAGTGGGTGCTCTGTAAGCACTATAATCTTGTGCGCTTGAAAGTAATGGTTCAGTTTCTTTGAAGCCATTATTAAGGCCAGCATCAATTTCTCTAGTGGCAGGTACCTTGTTTCTACATCGGCCAAGGTTTTGCTTACATAATAAACAGCCTTTTGCTCTCCTTTTTCCTCTCAGATTAGCACTGCACTTACTGCGTGTTCTGAAACTGCTAAATATAAAAACAGTTCTTCCCCAGGTTCAGGCGTTAAGAGGACTGGAGCCGTGGTCAGATATTTCTTTAAGTCGGACAAAGCAGCCTCACATTCCTCAGTCTATAGGAAGTCTGTGGCCTTCTTCACCAGGTTGAAGAAGGGTTTACATTTGTCTGAGCTTCTGCTGATGAATCTGTTTAGGGCTGCGGCCCTTCCAGTTAGCATCTGTACCTGTTTTGCCGATGTCGGGCTCTTCAACTCTAGGATGGCCTTGATTTGATCTGGGCTAGCCTCAATGCCCTTTCTTGTTACTAGGTTCCCCAGAAACTTACCTGATCCAACTCCAAACGCGCACTTTGATGCGTTGAGTCGAAGCTGGTATGTTTTGATTATATCAAAGACCTCTTTCAGGTCGGCAAGATGACCCTTAGGTTCCTTGGTCTTCACGACCATGTCATCGATGTAGACTTCTACTGTTCGGCTAATCAGGTATTTGAACATTTTGGTTACCAGCCTTTGGTAAGTTGCTCCTATATTTTTCAACCCGAAAGGCATTACCCTGTAACAATGCAGGCCTTTTGGGGTGATGAATGCAGTTTTTTCTTCGTCTGGGGGGTACATGGCGATCTGGTGGTACCCCCTGTAGGCGTCTAGAAAACTCATTCTTCCATGCCCTGAAGTGGCATCTACTAGCTGGTCAATTTTGGGCAGGGGAAAGCTATCTTTGGGACAGGCTTTGTTGAGGCTGGTAAAGTCTACACAGACCCTCCATTTACCGTTCTTCTTTTTTACTACCACTGTATTGGATAGCCATGTTAGGTAGTGTACTTCTCTAATGGCCCTGGCCTCCAAAAGTTTGTCTACTTCTTCTTCTACTGCTTTGACGTGTATCAACGTCGGTCTTTTGGCTCGCTGAATTACAGGTTTGGCCGACCTGTCAACATTCAGTTTGTGGCAAGTGACCTCGAGGTCAATGCTAGGCATTTCGTAAGGTGTCCAAGCAAACACCTCAATATTTGCTCTTAAAAAGTTTCCAACTCTTTTTCCTCTTCTTCGACTAAGCCCGAGCCGAGAAGAAAGAAGCGTTCTTCATCCCCATCCTGGACGAGGATTTTCTTTAGCGCCTCATCGCTCTTCTCGGCTGGTTCTTTGTCGATGTCTTCTAGGACTTCCAAGTCCTCATCTTCAATTTCTGCCTTCTCTAGCTCTCGCACGCTGCAGGTAGATTTCATTGCTGCCATGGAGCAACTCTTTGCCTATAGCTGATCGCCTCTAACTTCCTCTATCTCATGCTCTGTTGGGAATCGCAGTAGTTGATGCAATGTTGAGGGAATTGCCCCCATTGCATGCAACCATGGCCTTCCCAAGATGATGTTGTATGGCGAAGGCGTGTCAATCACCATGAATTCTGTCCTAACCTTCTTAGTGCCGGCTTGTACTTCCAAGCTTGTTGCGCCCAGTGGCCACGTCGGCGTTCCATTGAAGCCGACCATCGGGCCATTGGATTGCTCCAAGTCATCAGGATGAAGGCCCCGCTCCTTGTAACATCTAATATACATGATGTCGCAAGAGCTGCCTTGATCAATCAGGATGCGTTTCACTTGGCACTCCCGAACCTAGAGGGATACTACCAAGGCATCATTATGTAGATGCTGGACCATCTCTAGGTTGGCTTCAGTAAAGGCTATCGTCGGTCCCTGCCATTCTTCAGGCCGAGGTCTTTTATATCCGACCTGGTTTACGTGCTGTAGGTGTTTTACCTTCTGGGTCTCCCCTCGTATGTCATTTTCGTTCACTTTTGAGTGAATTACATTAACCACCCGTGGTCCTCCTGCCTGTGGTTGCTGTGCTGGGGGAGGCGGAGCTGCTGGTGCTTGAGGCAATCTTGCCTGTTCTTCCCTTGTCCTGGCCTCATCGACAAGGTCCCTTAGATGGCCTTGCCTCACCAAGTCTTCTAGGTGTGCTTTTAGGGCTCTGCAACCCTGAGTTGGGTGCCCTTCTTCATTGTGGTAAGAACAACGCCTACCGACGTTTCTTCCCATAAATTCCCCTGGTGTTCTTGTCGGTCCTCTGAAATAGGGTTGGTTTCGTATTTGATCCAGGACTTTGTGGATCGGGACTCGGAATACAGTCGTTACTGCCTGTTTAGCCCTCAATTCCGTTTCTTGTTTGATCAGTCCATTGTTACCTCGGCTTTGCTTCGGCGAGCCGTTTCCTTTCTCCTGCTTTGTCTCTTTGTTTCTCGACGTATCCTCCTTGGCTCTGACGTACTTCTCGATTCTCGCCATGAGTTCTTCCATGCTTTTTCGCAATGTCTTTGCCAAAGACTTCCGTAGTGAACAGTCATCTTTCAGGCCGTTCTTGAAAAACACGACCGCCACCTCTTAGTTGCATTCAGGTATTCGATTGAACACCTCGTAGTACCTTTTTGTGTAGGCCCTAAGGCCTTCATCCTTGGTGATTTTTAAAGCCATCAGTGCGTCGACCCTCAAGGGCTGTAGTTTATTTGTCACAAACCTGGCCACAAACATCTCGGCCAGGCGTTCCCAAGTCTTTACGCTTTCCTTCGGTAGTTTACGGAACCAATCTGATGCAATTTCCCCGAAGGATGAGGGGAATACTTTGCAGAGCAACGGCTCGTTCCCACTATATAATGCCATTGAATTCAGGTATAGTCCAACGTGAAAGTTGGGATCTGACTTACTATCACATATTTGGAACCTCGGCATACTGAATCTCTTTGGTGCTTCAAATTTGTCCAGTTCCACCGAGAATGGTGTCTTCGGCTTAACCGGGAAAGTTACCTCGGCTTCAGTATTCTGTTGCTTCCTCTTGAGGTAATCTCTCAAGTCTTATTTACTCCTTCCTGGAGCTCGGCTATCTTTGGACTTCAATCTTTTCGGCACACTACTTTCGACCTCGTGGTGAGCCCATTTTGACCTTTCTCCATGGTTTATGTCAAAGCAGAGCGCCTGCCCTTGAACATGCCGATGTTCTTTGGGCTCTGGGTCCTTCGTGTGGTACGTCCTTCGGGACTCCTCTCATCTCGGCTCCTTTTGTCCGACTTCCTTGGAAGGTCGGTGAGAGTGCCTTCCGCTTCTGGTGTGCTGAGGGGCTTCGGGGATTGTTTTCCTTCCTCCCTTCTGGGTATTAGTTGCTGGAATCGGCGTGTCATGCAGCGGGTACGGTGGCTGCATGACATTGTTTTGCATCATGAAGTTGACGACCGACTGTAGGTCTGCCAACTTGTTTGCCAATTTTTTTACTTCCTCATCCCTCCGAAGGCACCTATCCCTCCATACCTGGAGGTTATCTTCGTTATAGTACTTGCTTTAGTCTGTCCTCTTCGAAGTGTCGCCCTCCTGGCCGATGTCTTTCTCTCCGTGGCCCTGGTCATGAGTTTTTGCATTGTGGTTGTCTCCTTCAACGTCAAGGTCAATTGGTCTGCCACTCCCAGCAGGAGTGTTGTCCCCAATCTTTTCCTTCTGTCCGTTACTGGGCATTTATTTTTCTAAGTTCCCACAGACGGCGCCAAATTGTGTGAGTGATTTTCTGATCACACTGCCCACTTAGTAATCAGCTAGAGAGCACTGGCAGAATAGATGGCTTCAATTATCTTGCAACAGAAAGAAAAGGCTCCGGCGGTGGCTCCTCCACCCGGGGGCACTCCAATGATCAAGTCAGTATATCTCTCAAAGATAATCAAGTGCTAAACTCACTGCTCAAAGCATAAATTGCGTACCTTAGACCCACGGGGGTGCCTCTCTTTTATAGTTTACTTAATCCTAGTCCCACTAGAAGCCTCACTTCTATGGACTCCAATTCAGTACTTACTTTGGACTCCTCAAGAGATAAAGATAAACTCTCTAAGAGCTTTATCCTTATCTTGGCTAAATCTCTTCTTTATTCTAGGACTCTTGTCCCTTATCTTTTATCCTCTTATCTCGGATTTCGATATCTTCGGAGATAACCTCGGCCTTGCCGAGATAACCTCGGCGTCATGACCAGGACACGTGGCACCTCGGCTGACACGTCGGCGTCACCTTGCCACGTGTTGGTACTCAAAAAATATATCCCCACGCTTACAAACCCCACTTCCAATATGCAGTTAATCAATGTAAAATTCAAACCATCTTGAACTTACAAAGTGAACTAACTATACTTGATTTTTTTTTTTTTAAATATTAAGAACAGTAAGGATAGGATTTTCTAGTTAAAGATAAAAATTGATAGCGGCAATGGTAGCAAAATTAAAAGGATATTAAAAATAACCCATTAGCAACATTTTGGAAATCCCAGCCTGATAAATTAGCAGCTTCAGATAGGGCAGCTTTCCTCACCTTCACCTTCTCCATCTCATCCACGTAACATTTTTCATGTCTTCCAAATGCTTCTCCAAAACACCATGTTTGGTGTCGTATATCAGATGGATCGACATCGTAGAATAGTGTGAGAACTAATCGTCCAAGTGTTTTCTTGCATTCAATGATCTTCACGAGCTTATTAAGGCACCATCTGGAAGAAGCATAGTTTGTTAAGAAAACAACGATGGAGATCCTCGATTCTTCGATTGATTTTAGCAGGGCCGAAGAAATGTCATGTCCTCTTGGGAGTTCATCATCGTCCATGAAGGTGTGAGTTCTAACTTGAACCAAAGTCGCGTAGAGGTGATCAGTAAAGTTTTTGCGAGTATCTTCACCTCTGAAACTCAAGAACACGTCATAGCTCCAGCGAGGTTATGTCGAAGATGATAAAGAAGCAAAACAAAAAGAGCCATATAGGGTTCTTATAGCAGCCATGGATCAACCCAAGATTAGAGATCAAATGAATTGTAGGGAGGAATATGAGTGAATGAGCGGTGACTCTACAAAAGGTAAGAAATTGCTATTTGTAAACACTCCAGGTGATTCGATTTGCACTCAAATAATAATTCAGTATATGCAATTAAAATTTTAAAATTTTAATTTTTATTATATCTTAATGTAAATTTATTAATAAAAATAATAGACATTAAATCCTCAATAATTTTTTTCCTCATGATACACTCAAACTATTTCTACAAATTTTTCATATTCAACTCTCTTCATCTTCTTCCTAACTTTTAATTATTTTTTCTTCATTTCAAAACTTCAATCCACCCTTCAAAACTCACCATTAAAACTTCAATTCACTCCACTAACACTCACAATTATCATTAATATCAATAATTTTGGAGTGGATGCCGACAGCAAAGTACCACCATTTTTGTGAGTTTGATTTGTATATATAAATAATAATAATAAAAATCAATGGAAGCAATGGCTTCATTCACTGCATCACTTTTCAATCTCAACCCGTTTTGTTTCTCAAACTTTCAATCATGATATCCATGGAAAAATTATCGTAAGGTGAGTTGCCATTATTACCTTGTAATCATCAGTGGAGGAGTCATAACAAAGTCTACATACAATCTCATTGATGCAATCCTTCACATCATAGCAATAATCTGCTGCAGGACCTAATTGATAGAAAAATTCCACTCCTACATATACGAGCAACAACCGATTATAGGAATCCTGATTTTGATCTCACAAATTGAGGTTGTGTGTAAAATTAGAGTTTTGATTTGTTTATTATTTGGAAATATTTTGAAGGGTAAATTGGGAAAAATGTGTATTGAAAGTAAATTATAATCCTAAATAATTTAATAACATCCACTGAGAAATTATGCGTACTTAATGATTTTTTTAGGTGCAAACAGAATTCCCCAAACAAATTTTTTTTTTTCCAAATAATTTCATTTTTAGAAATGTTTTATTTTAAAATAAAAAATACATATTAAAGCACAACATTATATATATTAATTTTGGGCAAATTATGCAAGTGATCCCTGTAATTTACCGTTTTATCATTTTGGCTCCTATTGTTTCAATTTGTTCAATTTCGCCCTTGAATTTTATGGATTGTGTCATATTAGTCCAACAAATAACGGCGGCTAAGTTTGATGGGCGGAAAATCAAATGATGTGTCAATTTGGTCCTTGTAATTTATAGGATGTGTCAATTTAGTCCTTGTAGTTTATAAGAAAATCAAAACAACAAGGACTAAATTGACACATCCCGTAAACTATTGGGACCAAATTGACACACCATTTGATTTTCCGTCCATCAAACTTAACCGCCGTTATTTATTAGACTAATATAACACAATTCGTAAAATTCAAGAGCAAAATTGAATAAATTAAAACAACAGGAACCAAAATGATAAAACGGGTAAACTACAAGGACTACCGCTGTAATTTGCCCATTAACTTTATATGAATCTTTTTAGAGCGCGTCCATAAATAAAATTTTGGATTTGTTTCCTCTAATTGTCCACGTGCTAAACTTTTAAGTCCATAAGGACACGATTTTGATATCATAATCATTTATCTATCTGTATAATAAAAAACACCATTGTTGAGGTGGGTTCTATCTCCTCTCTCTTTCTCTCTCAGTATAAGTGAGGAGGGCAACACCATTAAGGGAGATCTAGTGTGTAGAGGAGGAGATCTTAGAGGAGACCATGCCCATTTGGTGTTTCCCGATGAGGGTGTTGTTGTTGACAAAGTCAGGGTAATCCATCATCGCTTCAACAGTTGAGAGTTTCAGTAGAGGGATAAGTGAGTCACCGTCGCCACCATCACCGCCACCTATTAGAGGCTACTGGCTGTGAAGGATCTCAAAGCCCCTTTTGATTCATGTGAAGTGGCAGACTTTAAGGTTAATGTCAGTAGATCAATGCTCTCTTCCTCTTCGTTGAACTATGCTTCTCATGAGCTCGCCAAACTCTGTGCTTTAAAGAACGACCCCATCTGCATTGTTAGAAATAAGCCCAAATGTATGAGATTGCCATGGGTTTGTATATAGAAACTTTGTTTTATTTTGGGTTTTTTCTGATTTTTTTTTTCAATCTCATTTATAATGGTGGTGGTGGTAATGGAAGAGAATGAGAAGTGAGAGATTTTTAGGGAAAATAGGCTCTGTGAATTTCTAACAGAAAGGAAAAATAAACTTGGTGAATTTCAATGCATAGGAAAAATAGGCTTGGTGAATTTCAATAGATAGATTAAAAATATTAAAATAATTTTGAAAGATAGATAAAAATTAAGACATATTTTAACAGATAGAATTTTTCAACAGATAGTTTATTTATAAAAATTTCAACAGAAAGGTTTTAATAGACTTTTGACAAATAAATATTCTTATCACCAAATAAGATTTTTCATTGAATCTAATGCCTATATAGGGTGGAAGGAAGTGGTGGTGGAGATGGGGAAATGGAAGGGACGGGAAAGTGAAAACACGATTGGAAAAATAAAGGGTATAGATAACATGAAAGGGGAATAAAAGTAGAAGTATAACATTGTATTTAGTTGGAGGATTTGAAAGAAATTTTAAAAAGAAAATGAAAAAGGCGTAAAATTAGTAGAAATGTAGGTATATTGTGGGTGTTTGGGAAATAACTATTTTTTAGGTTTTTTGACTATTTGACTATTTTAGTAGGCTATTTTAGTTTTTGTGTTTGGGAAGATGGGATACATTTTTATTTAAATTGTTGTATTGAAAAATGTGTTTGAAATGATAGTGAAATGTAAAATGACCAAACTGCCCATACAAAAAATAATTAAATACAAAAGGCAGCAATACAGCTGTACAACCTGTGTCTCTATTCATACTTTTCGCTTTACACAAAGGACAAAAAAATTCTAGTCCTTATCCCTTCTTTTTTTTTATTGCCAAAACACCATTCTCAGCCCACTCTCTCTAATAGAAAGGCTCAGACATCATCTTCTTCAACGAAGCTCTGCTTCGCCGTTTGCTCACTGCCCACTACTGCAACTCTGAGTACCGTCGTCGTCGAGGATCACCGTGGTTTGCACGCCACCTACTGCAATAACTCCAAACACGACGACACTGCGACCCAAGTCGCCGGAGTGAGATTCGACGGAGAGTGGTTTAATGGTGTTCTTCAAACTCTCCCTTCAGACCCAAATAACAGATGATAAAGATGAGAGAGATGAAAGCCCCTTCATCAGTTGTCACTTTCTGATTTTTGGATATGAGCTGCACAAAGGGTAAAAATGTTTTTTTGCCCACACAATGACATCCAGCTGAACAGAAGCTTGGTACCTCAGTTACAGTCAGGCTACATAGCTTCTTTTTTTCTTTTTTTTTGTAAAAGAGGCTAAAATAGCCTGATCAACGGGTTGCCAAACACCGGCATTTTATTTACATTTTGTCTATCTTTTCCCTTTTTCTTTTCAAATCACATCTTAAAACTTTTAACCAAATACAACGTAAAAGATAGTTGAAGGGAAATGAAAGCATAGTGGAGAAGAAGAGCAGTGGGTTTTGTGCTCTAAGTTCATGTTGATCATATTAGATGACTCTAATTTAATGGATAGTTAATAAATAGTAATGATAATATTGCGTGATCAAGTTTAAATTTTCCTTTTGGTAACTAGTTTAAAAGTCAATTTTTTTTTTTTGTCTTTAGTTATTTTTTAAAAATTATTTCAATTTTTTTTTCTAGTTTGTTTTGTCAAAATGAATCTGAAAAGTATATATATATTTTAAAATTTTCAAAAAAAAATTGAAAAAACCAAAATAAACAAACAAAAAAAAAATCACTATTTTTTACTTTTTTGGACCTTTTTTTTTTTTGAAATTTTTAAAAAAATTATAATTTTTCAATTCTTCTTGTTGAATTAAATTTAGAAGTTTAAAAATTTTTGATTTTTTTTTTTAAAAAAAAGTTTACTAAGAGGAAAATAAGTTTTAAAAAAGTCAAAAAAATAAGCAAACCCCAAAACTTATATTAAGGCCTCGTTTGGCAAGAGGCTATTTTAGTCAATTAGCTAAAAAGTTACTAAATTAGTTAAAAAGCCAACAACACATACCAAAAAGTCAAAGATTCTCTTTTCTTTTTACTTTTTGCACATCTTTTCGTAATTAGTCAAAAAGTCATCCCAAACATATAAGTTTTTTTTACCTACCTTTTTAGCCAAATAGCCAAAAAGTTACTAAATTAGCCTGTTCCCAAACAAGGCCTAAGTGAAAAAAAGCAAATGTGAAATTATTACATACATGTTAAAAAATTTATTAAATTCAGTGCTCGTTTGGAAAGATGGGTTGGGCTGGGTTTGGGGCTATTTTAGTCACAAAAAGATAAAATAGACTTTTTAGCTCAATAAGACAAAATGTCACATTCAACCCATAATCATTACATTCTTTCTCTCACAAAAAATCAAAAAAGTAAAAAGTTTATTCCAAACGAGACTTTTTAGCCCTAAGCTAAAATAGACAAAGAGCTAACCCACTTTCCAAACAAACCCTCAATTAGAAAACGGAGAATGGAAAACGGAAATGACTGGAAGGTGGAAATTAATTATTTAAAATGGAAATGAGTAGAAGGTTGAAATTAATGTTAATTTAAATTTTGAAGTTTAAGTTGAAATTAAAAATTTAATTTATTAAGTGACAATCCAAACTTTAATATATTTTTAGGGAAATTCTAATCTACACACTTTTAAAAAATGTGCACCATATGCATTTTTAATTATGTCAATTTTTTTAATTATGATTAATTTTTTTTAATTATGACATTATTTTAGTTATAACTGATAAATTTTTTAATTATATAACATATTATGTTTAGTTATGAATTTATTTTTTTTAATTATGATTAAAAAAGTGAATATAGTTTTTTCCATATTTAAATATATATATATATATATATATATTCACCCCCAAACAAACTCCAATACTCGATATTGGAGGGGGTGAGGCATGACTAGGATACCGTATATACTTATTCACACGGGCGCGGCGAGTCGACACAATACCTACTTTAGCAGAAACCAGAAAGACAGACAGAGCATTAAGAGCCTCATGCTCATATATAAGGCACCCTCCCATTGGCACTTCATAGTAACACAGGATGTACTCAAATTACAGTGATAATTAACATTTGTTGTACCTAAATACCCTTCACCTTGTGGTTGGCCTTACTAGCACCATATCATTTCCAACTCAGACAAGGGATTGTCAAGTGGCAACCCATACCGGTACATGTCATCTTCCAAAATAAGCTATTGGGGTTGTGAGTCTAGCCTAAGCAGGGGCATAGAAACCAAGTATGTTATCTTGGCTAGCTGACATGCTCAATGCCTTAGCTTTTAGCCATGTCACCGCAAGATGAACCAACATAGGACATCCCAAGGCGTGGCCAGAGTACCATGTAGTTGTGTCGAGGTTTCGAGACATCTCTACTCGACTAACTATGCTCGGTAGCAACATGGCTCTGCATTCCATTTTCCTTGGCTGAGTGGTCCTTTGCCAAACCATGACCCTACTATGTCTTGTGTCCTCTTTCTCCATAAAGTTGTCTCCTATTGATCAAGACATCTCTAATACCATCATGTAACACCTTGATGACCTAGGTTCAGTGTTAGGCATTGGAATCTTTGCTCGGGGCATCATTGGAGGTATGTGACTTAGAAGCTAGAGTTAAGGATTCATTTTAGTGCCTTTCTGTCCCCCTACCCCGAGGGTGTCTGCACCTTGATCAGTATTAGAGAGACAGGTGCTCTAATCAAGACATGATATTTTGGAAGTTGTATCATATGCAACACTGAAGCCCCCCATGATACCTACATTGTTGCTCTTATGATACAAATCCCAAGATTTGATCTTTGGATGTAGAAGGGTTGGGATTGTGAGAATATGTCTATATTCGCATGCCTATATTCAGTGTTCTCTTTTTCCGTTTAGGATTAGGACTTGGTGTTCTATATCTATTAGAATTATATTCAGTGTTGTATTAGTCTAGGATTAGGAATTAGTGTTCTACATAAGTGATGTATTCTTTGTCCAATTAATTCAATCTAATACACAATTTCGTTCAGAAAACTTACATGGTATCAGAGCTTGGTTCCAAACCCTAGCTGCTTCGCTTGTTGCCATCGTGGTTAGCTAGTCGAAGGATCATCGATCTTGACCCCTCATTGGTTTTTCTGGTTCGTGATTAGCCCTAAGTGGTGACATTCTACTTTGTCTGGGTTATCACCATCAGCCCTCTCTGGTTCGACTGGTTTGTCACCATCAGAGTCGCGACTTTTCTCTCTCCAAACTCGCAAAGGTTCGAAACCCTAGCCTTCTCTGGTTTATCTGGTTTGTCTTGCAAAGGTCCCTCTCTTCCTCGTGATCTCTGTCTGATTCGATTCACAGCTATCTACTTTAACTCTCTGGTTAGTCTGGTTCGTCTGCCTCTCTCTTCCTCGCGATCTTTGTCTGATTCGATTTTCAGCTTCTCTCTCTCTCTCTCTCTCTCTCTCTCTCTCTCTCTCTATGCTTCAACTTTGGGTATTTCTATTTAAAACCCTATTTTAGGATTATTGCATAACTTCAGCATATCCTCTCTACCTCTCAACCATCCCCATCTGTCTCCGCTCTTACCTCTCTTCATTCAGGTTTACTTGAGTCGTCTTCAGGAATCCTTTCTTATGTCTGGATTTTTGATTCTAGTGCCTCTCATCATATGCCTCCTTACATTTTCTTACTTCAAAACTGTATTCCCCTACCCGTTCCTATTATTATTAATACTGCTAATGGGCCTAGCATGTCTATTATGTCTATTGGGTCTGTTTTACCCTCTGCCATGTCTACTATTGTTATTCCTTCTATTCTTTATGTCCCTCAGTTATCTATCAGTTTATTATCTATCAGTCAACTTGATGCCTCTGGTTTTGATGTTATATTTTCCTCTTCTATCTGTTAGGTACAGGATTAGGTGTCCGAGAAGCAGATTGGGACCGACCGTAGAGTTAGAGATCTTTATATGGTCGAAAGCTTGCATCTCCCCTTATCCACCTCTCCAGCTGCACTTTCCTCGTTTCAGTTAGATTCTCAGTCGAGTCAGTTTTACTTATGGCATTCTCGCATCGGTCATTTGTTTGTTAACTGCTTACGATCTTTAGCTCAGTCAGGGTTGTTGGGTAAAGTTTTTCCTAGTCAAATTGATGAATGTCGGGGGCATAAACTTGCTAAAATGTCAGCTTTACCATTTAATAAAAGTACGTCTATTTCTGTTTCTCCTTTTTCTCTTGTGCATACTGATGTCTGGGGACCCTCTCATGTTCTAACTAAAGGGGGTTCTGCATACTATGTGTCTTTTATTGATAATTGCACCCGTTACACGTGAGTTTATCTTATGACTCACAAGTCTGACTTTTACCAAATATACCGTACTTTCCAATGTATGGTCATTACACAGTTTTGGTCCACTATTAAATTGTTGCGGTCAGACTTGGGTGGGGAATAATTTAAAACTAAATTCTGTGAATATTTGTCCAAATTGGGTACCATTCACCAAACTTATACTGATACACCTGCCCAAAATGGTCGAGCTGAGCGTAGACATCATCATCTCCTTAAGACAGCTAGGTCTCTCCTTCTCTCTGCCTCCGTTCTGGCTCCGTTTTGGGGTGAGGTAGTTCGTACTGTTGCTTTCTTCTCAATCGTATGCCTACCCCCCTTCTTTCTGGTCGGTCTCCTTATGAGGCTCTATTTTCTCAACTTCATAATTACTCCCCCCTTGTGTGTTTGGGTCTGCTTGTTTTGTCCTTTTACCCCGTAAAGATATGACCAAACTTAGTGCCCAATCTGCCTATGTGCCTTTTTGGATTATAGTCTCACTCAGAAAGGTTATCGCTGTTATGACTCTGTTTTTCATCACCTTTATGTCTCCCCGCCATGTTGCCTTTCTTGAACGTTTACCTTACTTTCAGCTTCCTCCTCTGACCGCCCCAGTTTCCAAAGAGGATTTGGTTTATATTGATCCATTTCCTTCTGAGGTCTCATCTAATGAGTACATCTCTATAGTTTCTCCTACACTTGTTCCATCTTCTCCTCCTGGTTTACCCCTGGCTGCTTCTCCTTCGATTTCTTCTCCTTCTCTGTTGTTAGTTTATTCTCGTCACAAGGCTCCTCCTCCACCAATTGTCTCTCCCCCTACTGCTGATCCTCCTGTTTCTAACGACTCTTATCCTGCTGCACACCGATATCCTCCATGAGCGCGTCGTCCTTCAAACAGGTTGGGTTAGTCTAATACTTGTTTTTCTACTTCCTATCGTACATTTCTGTTTGCTATTCACAATTTTGTAAAACCTCAATCTTACAAGGAGGCCTATCAGGATCCTCGTTGGGTTCATGCCATGGAGGATGAGTTGTTTGCTCTACAAAAAACTAGTACTTGGGAGTTAGTTCATTTGCCTGCTGGTAAGAATCTGGTTGGTTGCAAATGGGTCTACAAAGTAAGACTCATTCTGATGGTTCTCTTGAGTTCTACAAAGCTCGTATGGTTGCCAAAGGTTTCTCCTAGGAGCATGGCATTGATTATGAGGAAACGTTTGCTCCTGTTGCCAAGATGACTACTGTCATTGCTATTCATTCTTGGCCTCTTTATCAGATGGATGTTAAGAATGCTTTTCTTAATGGCCATCTCACTGAGGAGGTTTACATACGTCCTCCCCCTGGTCTTCAGCATTCCTTTGGCCAGGTTTGTCGTCTTCAGTGTACTCTATATGGTCTGAAGTAGTTTCCTCATGCTTGGTATAATCACTTTTAGACTGCTATTACCGAGCTTGGGTTTCATTCTTCTGCTTTCGACTCTGCTTTATTTTTGAGACATACCTTGGTTGGTTTTGTTGCTCTTTTACTATATGTGGATGATATGATCATTACTGGCTCTAACGGATTTGCTATCTCTAATTTCAAGCAGCATCTCTTCCGCACCTTCGAAATGAAGGATCTGCGATCATTGCGGTATTTTCTGGGCATTGAGGTGGCTTCTTGTCCCAAGGGTTACTTTCTGTCCCAGGCTAAGTATGCCAACAAGGTTATCCATCGTGTCGGACTTATTGACACTAAGTTTTTTGATACCCCCGTTGAGCTTAATGCGACGCTCAACACTACTGATGGTGTTTCTCTGGACGATCCTACGTTATATCTTGAGTTGTGGGTTCCTTAGTCTATTTGACAATTACTCGCCCTGATCTTGCCTATGCTGTCCATGTGGTTAGTCAGTTTGTTTCTGCTTCTCGCTCTACACATTGGGCTATTTTGCTTCAGATCCTTTGCTATCTTCACAATACTATCTTTCAGGGCTTGTTATTCTCTTCTACTTCTTCATTAGATTTGGTGGCCTATGCTGATGCTGATTGGGCTGGTGATGTTAACGATCGTAAATCTATTTTTGGTTTCTGTATGTTTCTTGGTAATTCCCTAATTTCTTGGAAAAGCAAGAAACAAAATATTATTACCTGTTCTACTACCGAAACTGAGTATCGTGCTATAGCTTATGCTACTGCTGAAATTGTTTGGCTTCGTGGTCTCTTATCTGACTTGGGCGTCCCTCAGTCTTCCCCGACCTCTCTCTATTGTGACAACCAAAGTGCTATTCAAATTCCTCATGACACTGTCTTCCATGAATGGACAAAACACATTGAGATTGATTGTCACTTCGTCCGTTAGCATCTACAGTCTAGCTTTATATTGCTTCATTTTGTCTCTTCGACTCTGCAACTTGCTAACTTCTTCACCAAGACTCACACCACTGCTCGGATTTGGTTTTGTCTTGACAAACTCTCTGTGTTCTTTGCTAAAACACCTTGAGTTTGAGCGGAGATGTGAGAATATGCCTATATTCGCATGCCTATATTCAGTGTTCTTTTTTTCCTTTTAAGATTAGGACTTGGTGTTCTATATCTATTAGAATTATATTCAGTGTTGTATTAGTTTAGGATTAGGAATTAGTGTTCTATATAAGTGATGTATTCTTTGTTCAATTAATTCAATCTAATATACAGTTTCGTTCAAAAAACTTACAGGGATACCTCATTCTTGTTGAAACAAAGAGG